AATGCTGGTGGTCTCTTTGATTTTTCTGACTATCTTTATGCATAAACGTCTAAGTAGATCCCATTCCATTCTGAAATGAGGACAGATTTATTGAGAAATGGTAACTACCTATGGCCGGCAGACTGTAAATCTAAAAGGTCACCTGGACTCTTCAAGTCGATTCTGAGAAAAGTCATATAGAGGGCGCTGTTTTGCTTTTTTCTCAGAATTGACTTGAAGAATCCAGGTGACCTTTTAGATTTATGACTAAAAGCTCGAAAGTGAATTTCTGTGAACTTTTCATCCAATCACATCCAGTGGCTAAAAATCACTTTTTGACGCAGTTCACCCTAGTCGAGACTCCCGGCAAAACTTCAACGGGAGTCCCAAGTTCATGAAAAACTCCAGCAGGAATCGTAAGGAGTTCTGATGACTCTCGCAGGAACTTTCTAAAGTGAAAAGTCCAACATGGAGTCATGAGGAGTCCCAAAAAAATTCTTGCAGGAGTCCTGTCGAGAGTCCTGTTGAAGAAAGTCATGCATGGAGTTGAGAAATTCAAAAAAAATTCCTGCAGGAGTTCTGTTGGAGAAAGTCATACATGGACTCCTACAGAACTCCTGTGCAATCCCCGAGGAGTCCCTGCCAACTCCCCATTCACCGTTTGTTTTGCAGATAGGCAATATATAAATATAATGTAGTTCTATGATAAAATTTTAAAAGTTTTCTTCTAGTAAATCAACATTAATGTGTCAACCTTCGATGGGTGATATGTGCTCCAGCGGTACCAGTGATAGTATCTAGCACTTAATTACTAATTAGTTACATGAAATTAAGAAGATGGATCAACAGACCCACAGGGAGTCCCCAGGGACTCTCTTGAAAATCCCCGAGAACTCCCCAGGGACTTCCTTAAGAATCCCATAGAACTCCTGTGAGAGTCTTGAGGAATCCCTCTTGAATCCCTTAAAAATCCTCCATGACTCCACAGAGGATCCTGCCGGGACCCCGTGATAGGACTCCTGGTGACTCCTGTAGGACTTTTTTTCCAGGACTCCTGCGGAAGATTAATCAGGAGTCTCGACTAGGGCATGCCGTTTGTCCACGTACTATTTTTTTAACTGAATATATTTGTTTTACAACCGACTGAAACATGTGATTGCGTAAGTTTGATATGACTGATAACTATTACTCAATCTCAATTTTCTTTCACTTTATGTATCATTTCTACGTTCTGCTACTGTCGGGGTCCGAAGCATTCGAGTTATCTACTGAAACACGAAATTATCCTAACCTCATCCTCGAATGCAAACCACGACCTCATTTTTTGCTTAGGCAAACTGAAGGAAAAAGATACTGTCGGGAATCCAGATTGACTTTGCTTGATATTATGGGGACCTTTTCAAATTAGATCACCTGTATCTTCTTACAGAGAAAATGCTTGAAAAAGTCAGTATCATGGTGTTAGGAGAGTAAAATGAATCTTTTTCTGTTTTTTGCTATTAGTTTATTTATTTAGTCAGTGCTTGAAAAAAATGACGGGTTGATAAAACTATGTAACAATATAGCCACTTTGTCAAAAACCTGCCTCAGAAAATAGTAGAAGAATACGCTCAGAAGTTCTACTAGTTAATGGTTTGATTAAAGAAAATCGTGAAACGGCACTTCGACGTGTAATAATTTTATGAAAATACGTGAGTCTAAAAAATTTCCTTCTTAGTGTCAAGTCCGGTAAGTTTAGTTGTTTAATGAGAGTTGAAGTGTGTGAAGAATAGTCGTTTAGTATAATATGACAACAAGTTTGTTCACCGATGTTAGTAATGCAAGATGAGTTACAAAATTATTATTATAGAGCAGTAGTCTATAATCGGAAGAATGCACGTTTTGTAAATATGAAGCCGGATGAATGAAGGTGCGGATCTACATGCATGATGATGTTAGGCGGTTTAAATCGTACATCTCTTTGCAACAGTCTCGATGTGATGTTTCCAGGTTAGATCAGAACTTAAATATACTCCAAGTAATTTGATGTTCTCTTCCCTCAAAATTTCAATGTCTGATAAATAAAGAACTGGTCATTTTTCCGATATTTTTAAATTTGAAAAAGACATGAAACAGCACTTGTCTATATTTAAATCAATATCGTTCTTTACACTGTGTGTAAGGAACGGAGAGTTCTTCGACTTTGGGTTTTCGTGAACGTCATGGTGTTTCGTTTTGGTGTTCCCATGGTCTTCAAATAATTATTCGATTTCTTCAATATAAATAACAATCATTTTTACGAAAAGTTTATAGGAAATATAAAACGTAAACAAGACTAGTTCTTGAAGAAAATCTTCAGCACGTGAAAAATATAGATGAAGAACAAATTAAACCATTTATGATTATCACTGAGCATATTAATGACGATAGTCATTTGAGAAAAAGTATAGTTTTAAATAAATGTTAGTTTTTCGTATACTTCATGTATAATTAACGTATTTTCTTCAAAATTAATGAGACATCCTTTGTTACCATTGTGGTAAGTCGTAGAAAAATCCAATGACACCAGTTATATAACTAGAGCAATGTCTAATCCTGAACGCCGTCTAAATTCTGGATTATTCAACCACCAGACTAGAAAACCTTATTTATATGCATCTGTATCTCATTTTCAAACTATATCTTGTGTTTAATGTCCATAGTTTTATTTTTTTAAAACATGACATAATATTTTATTTAGAAACAGGATATTGAATTTCAAAAACGACAATCATAAGTCACACAAACCTCACGTTCTCGAAATACTTTTGTGGCTATCACTAATATATATATCAAAATCGCACCGGTAAATGCTCCTAAAATGGAAAGTAAATCACTGATCAGTAATGGAAAAGAGGGTGTCCATGTTACTTACCCAGTTGTGTAAATGCTCCATACCAAAACAACCCTCGATGCCCTGTTAATAGGCGAAAGTGATTACCCAGTACAATTCGTACATAATAAAATATCAAATAAACTAAAATCCATACAGTACTCTAGATGAACGCAAAAAAATACAAAACAAGTTTATTTTTAACTAATCATGTTTACTGTCAACTTACGATGATAATTTTCCCGATGGGTTTATCGACTAATGGTGAACATGGAGATGTTACTGCAGTGACAAATATGTATATTGAGAACAGTGAACCAATAGCGGTTAAAACATAGCAACCTCTTGGAGGCATTTGAGGCGTGACGGTAACAAACAAACTCAATAATGGATATGTGAATTGACCTAAAACAAGAACATCAAACGTGATCTTACAGAGAAATAAATTCTTATTACTTACAAAGTATGATAGTCCAATGAAAGGTTTTTATTCCATATGGATATAGGGAATACGTATTTATAGATGGTATACATCCAAGAAGAACAAAACTAATCCAAAATATACATATTAGAAATAGTCCATGTTCGGAATACCAAAAATGTGGAGGTTGTTGAGTGTCTAATTTCCAATCTTCATTTTTGTTAGATAATGACTGATTAGTAGTACCGTTTTGTTCATTTGGCTGTCGTTTTTCTGATACATGATCGTTAGTTTTTTGAGTGTGGGAGCCAGGAGTTTTATGTTTACCTGTTTTTGTTAGTACCAAAATAATAAACGAGACGAATGATAGACACATTAGAGCAGTTATACACAGAAAATATGTTCGAACAGTAAAACGTGGTGACGTCGGTTCTTTCACAGTAATGTTAACGGTTTGATTTGTAGTTTCATTCCACACAAGTTGTTGGACACATTTTGATTCTCCACCGACACCTTGAATGATAGCTAATAAAGCTGGCAACAATGAACTTAAGAAAGAAATTGAGAATTATGATCACTATCAACGACCTTTGGCATTTCTTACCTTAAACCTTCTCCCGTAAATAATCCGTTGAGATACAACGGTTGATATCTTGACATAAATGGTGCAAATGTTACTGATGATGTACAATCGACGACGGCTAACCAAAAGCAGAGAACCAACATCCATATACTTCGTCGTTGTTTCAGAAAATAAGCACTTTTATCCCATAGAAAACTCAAAGCTAATAAAGCTACAACTCCCACGGTCAATATACTAAAATTCGCTGGTACTTCATAAGCCGTAGATTTGTTGATAGAACGACGTAACAATACCACTGACAAAGGACCAATATTAGCCAAATTGGACATCAAACCTAGAGGATAAAAAGAGTATATCATTTCTGCTTATTCTATTCGCTAAACTTCTCTCATGTACATTTTTGAAATGAATTCAAACCTTTATCTCAGACTTGTTATTGTTAAGGGCCCACCCTCCCTCAGAAATGGTGATTTTCGGTCAAAAAAATCGATTTTGAGATACGCACATGGAAAGATAGCCTGAAGTGTCTACTTTCAGAATCTGTATTGCTTTTGGTTACAAAACTGTTTTTTCGGGGATTTTGAGTAGTTTTCTAACAGCCTCGAAAAAAACGGGTCTTCAAATAATGGTTTTTCCCTGGATACTTATGCAATTAAAATTTTTCTAAACACACAGCTTTGTAGAGCAAACGTTTCTGATCAAAATAAGACCTCGCACAACTCTGTATGACCTTGTATCAAAAAGTTACAGGCATTCTCCTAGAAGTCCTAAAATCGAGTATTTTATACAGCGTTTTCACTATATAAGAGTTACACCTGAAGTGCGTCCCAAGATTTTTAATAGCGATTTGTCGTAGAGAGTTCATTCTTCTTTTGTTTAAAAGAGGAAAAGAAACTACATGGGCTGACCGGCGCTGATTTTTGAATTAGGTCTTAGTTTTTTGTCAAACTGAGGATTTTTAAAAAATTCGGAAGGATTTTTCGGATTTTGGAGGTTGTTGGAAAACCAATTAAGGCTTAATTGTAAAATCAGCGCCGGTCAGTCGATGTAGTTAGGTGTCTAGTTTAAAATAAAGCAGACCCGATCTTTCCAGCTTGAAGTATATTAAAAAATGTTGGGACGCCGTTCAGGATCCTTTTTGGACCTTAATCTCTGAAAAACTCCTAAACCGTAAGACTTGGAGACAAAACATCTTTTTCATTCCCGTAACTCATTGTACCGAACATTTCTGGAAAGTTTCGTCAAGATCGTATGTATGGTGTCGGAGATAATTTCTGAGGGGGAGGCCTTAATGTAGATTACGTAACTCATACGTCATACGAACCTAGATAAGCTGAGAACTCCCAGCCTTCTGGTACTTTATCAACAATCAATGGAATCTGTATCCACACTCCATTCAGATCGAGCCACGTTCCAATACCAAAACATACGACACAAATATAGATAAACACAGATTTATGAGTATTATAGTTTTTAGCCTTATTATTATTATCTTCATGTTCGGGTTTTAACATAGATTCTTGTTCCAATGCCATAATTAATCCGATAAGCTAAACGATATAATATTAGTTAATATATATACACGCGAGAAAGTCGTCATAATAAAACAACATTTACACCAGTTAGTTCTTGTGTATCAATTGCCTTTAGTTTCGGTGGTGAACCTGTAATGCTAATAATAAAAAGAAAGAAAAAGTAATTCAACTTTATGCGTTAAACGATTTTCAAGAAAAACAGAACAGGGTGTCCAATCGTGGCGGAATCACAGTTAGATGTTCGCTGCCTAATATTAAACTGCCACCTGTTGGATTGACAATTAGTCGATCAGAATGCACCAATATTATGTGACTAACTCTATATCGTCGGATGGATGATAATAAGATGAGAAAGTGATCGTTTCACACCCTGTTTTATAGCTTTATATAGGATGGAACATCACACATCTTTAGGAAATATTTCATAGGTGATCGAGGTAAAATAATCGAGAAAAATTCCATCAGATATAATACATATGAACAATAACACTGAGAGAAAGAAAAGTACTTGTCAAGAGAAAAGATGGAACATATGTTATGTATAAGAAAGTGAAAATACAGATATATGTGATAACAGAAAAGAAAAAAATCCAAACATATATGACAGTCCGGTCTCACGACCGATATCCCGATCGGGATATCACAGAAAATTTATATCCTGATCGGGATATTTTTGCAAAACATTTTGGAAAAAATCATTACCACAAAAATCGTGACGTTATTGCACAAAAGTGAATATAGCATAAGAAAGCGGATGAAAAACTGAGTCGGAATCAAAGGTACTCTAGTCTTGGTTTAAGGGTACCCCTCCCCTCTTTTCGAGCTTTCCGTAGAAATGCTGTGAAATAAAAACTAGAAGTCGCTAGGGCTGCGCATTTTCAGAACTGATCGGAAACTCAATGGAGCACTTTTTCGTTCTTGTCTCAAGTTTCCAAGTATTGTTGTTCACCAGCTTTTCAGAAAACTCGGTTTTTCATTGTGCCACATTACGATCGCCCTTAAATTAAAGGCAATTGATACACAAGAACTAACTGGTGTAAATGTTGTTTTATTATGACGACTTTCTCGCGTGTATATATATTAACTAATATTATATCGTTTAGCTTATCGGATTA